ATTGAAAAGGAATACTATCATTTGTTGTTTTATTGTAATTCAGGATTTCCTCCAACATTTATTGAGAAACCACTAGGTATAGACATGTGTTGTGGACAAATTTTTATATGTTTCTACATATTGCCAACCATAGCATGGTATGATAAATGCTAATCTTGATATAGATATAGTGTGATTGTAATGGAATTATAAGGTTAATATGATATAATTGGTGAAAGAATGGAACTGTTGAAAGAGGAGTGGTAAATTGATTCAGTAAAAATAAGGCAGAATAGATTTAGAATATTCTATTCTCAAAAATGCATCTCAGGACAGACCAGTGTATAATAAGATTGTATATAATTAAAATCAATCTTAAGACTTTAACTAAGGAATCTCTCAATATTCTTCTTTAATAATTTATATTCAACTTTGGGTCATCCAGTTTGCTTCCCATAAGCCTACATTCTTTGCTAAAATGGTCACTGAAGCCAGGCACAGTGGCACACACTGGTAATCCCAGCAACTTGGGAGTCTGTGGCAGGGGAGTCCCAAATTTGAGGCCAGCCTTGGCAATTTAGTGAGACCCTATGTTAAAATACAAATAAAAAAGGTCTGGAGACACAGCTCAGTGTTAGTATGCCCCTGTGTTCAAACCCCAGTACTTCAAAAATAAATAAATGAGTCATGGAAGTCCACAGCAACACTTTTCCTGGGTGAAGGCAGATGTGGAGTGGAAAGGAAGGCACAGGAATGACAACAGATATCTAGATTTCTAGTCTTTAAAATTCAATTAGGGAGTTAGCTGGGGGTGCATATGTTCCATAGTCAATCAGCCCATCATTGCAGTAATGCACTTGCTATTATCAATTTTTTGAGACCTTCTCTGGGTAAAGAGATGGGTAAATAAAAAAAGAAAGAAAGAAATCCTCTGGTTTATGTTGTAAGCATTTTAAGTCTCCAGAATGAAAAAAAAAAAAAGTACAACCCTGTCCTTTCTGGGTAGTGATGACTTTGATGTGGTTTTCTATTCCTAGCTCTAAAGAAAAAGGATATCGTTGAGTTATAAGATATCTACCAGTGGTTGCTGGCAAAGAAGGTGAAAACCTTAGAACTACTTCCTTGTGAGATACGTATTTTTAAAATATATCACTTTACCTCACAGAAATCATCCTTGTGACTTAGGACAAGAAATAATAAAATACAAAGAATTCCAAGACCACAGATTACATTTTTACTTAAAAATTGAAAAATATTTGTTTATATTTTTGTCATTTGTTTTATGTGATCTATAACATACTGTTTGAAGAAGGGTGACAAATTGGGATGAAAGGAATCAGTCACATAAGGCTTGAACTGATGCAGAACATAAATAACAACATTTTCAATTGTAAATAGCAACACTAAATCACTGCAATTGAAAGATGATTATATGTATGTTACTTTTTTCTGTTTGATATCTTCCCTTTATTTTTACCTTCCTCAGTGAGTATTTTACTCAGCTTTTTCACTGCTGTAACAAAAAGACCTGACAAGAATAATTTTAGCAGAGAAAAGTTTACTTGGCACTCACAGTTTCAGAGTTCTCAGTCCACAGATGGCCTACTCCATCGCTCTGAGCTGGAGGTGAGGCAGAACATCATGGGAGAAGAGTGGTGGAGGAAGGCTCAGGACATGGCACCAGAAAGCACAGAGTTCTCTCACCATGGACAAAATATAGACCCCAAAGTTGTGCATCAGTGACCCACCCACTCCAGCCATACCCTACCTGCCTACAGTTAACACCCAGTTAATCCCTAAGAGGGGATTAATGCACTGATTAGGTTAAAACTCTCATAACCCAATTATTTCACCTCTAAATTTTCTTGCACTCTCTCACACATGAGATTTTAGGGAATACCTCATATCTAAATCATTACAGTGGTGTCACTTTTTTAAAAAACAAGTTCTCAGTTGCTAAGGCTGGCCTCGAACTTGTGATCCTCCTGCCTCAGTCTCCCAAATTGCTGGGATTACAGGCATGAGCCACTGCACTCAGTTCAATGAGTCACTTCTGTATAGACCTTTGAAATCCTTCAGCCTTTCCAGCAGCCCCGATGCTGTATCAGACTGTTCCCAGTACCTTGCACAATACCATGAAATCACACAGCTTGCAACAATCATTTGTCAATCTATTAGGTATTAGTTTGCTGGTTGTCTTTCCACATTTACTTAATAGCTGAACATCTAGATGTTGCAATTCTGTATTCAAGTACTTCTTTTATGCTTTATTTAGTATCATTTTTATGATTACTTCTCTGCCCTTACCTGCTTATTTGTATAATGTTCGAACTAATGAAATAAGTGCAGAATAAGTAGCTACCAGTTCAATTTATTTTGAGAATTATGATGGCATGCACAGAAACACAACTCAGCATTCATTTGTTTATTCATCAAATATTTTCTTGATCTTACCAAGTGCAATCATCATGCAAAGTGATAAGAATGCAAAGATGAACAAAGCAGGTGGAGTTTCTGCCCTCATGGAGCTTTCAGACAAGAACATAGATGGTTGCAGTGTCAGAATACAAGCTCAGGGTTCTGGTAGTGCACATTAAATGGCTCCTCATCAGACAGAATTAGGTCAATTGCATGTGGCAGAAATGCAAATAGCAGTAGTTTAAAGTAAACAGAAAATTTTCTCCAAAATGAATATCTGGAGGTAGACAGACTACAACTCCACAATGTCAAGGACTACTTCTGTCTTGTTACTATGCTATTTGTGGCCTCAATTCCCAAAGTCACCTTGTCCAAGATGGCTATTTCAACTCCATTTCCCCATTCCACAATAGGAAGGAGGGGAAAGAATGACAGGAACAATTTCTCTGCCATTGAAAGACTTCTAGATGTTGCTCAAGCCACTTTTACTTACATCCCATTAGCCAGAACTTAATCACATGGCAATATCCAGCAGCAGGGAAAACTGGGAAATGCATTATTTATTTTGGGTAGCCAGAAAAAAAGAGGGGATGAATACGAGAGGATAACTAATCATCTCTGCCCCAGGATTTCTGGGAAAATGGTTGCCAAAATTGAGATTTGAAGGTGAGTAGAATTCTCAGAAGAAGTATGTGTGTGTGTGTGTGTGTATGTGTGTCCTTATAGGAGTAAAACATTCTAGAAAAAAAGAAAAATCCCAAGAAATTGAATACTGAGAAGCTGTTCTTTTGCCAACTAATCATTGCATGACAGTGTTTGTACTTTTATTAGGAAAAGAGGTATAGCTCAGCTTTTATCAGAGGAAAGAGAGTGGAACTAATGTTTCAGTGTAGGTTTGGGTTGAATGGGCCAGGACAGCCTCTCAGAAAAGACGGAAAGTGGGAGAAGCATTAAAAACAAACTAATGTTAATCCTTTCCCAGCAATATTGGCCCCCGTGAAGGCATGTACTTAAGCAGAAGGGAGCATTCATTCAGTAATATCCTAACTTACAAGTTCAGAGGCTAGCCCATGCCTTCCTGTGCCCATAGTAGTCACATTCCCAGCTTCATTGGAACCATACAGAATTGTTATGCTCACTAAAGTGCCACAAATCTGTAGAAACACCAAAAACATGTATGATATATTAAGTTTACAACATCAGTATACTTTTGGGTTTCCTTAAGTTTTATGTCCAGCTTTATAAAATTAGTCTTTCTCCTACTTTAAACAAATCAAGTAGCAAGTCTATTTTGCTTGTTATTGTGATAAAGCAGCAGTTGCCTCAAATGAAAATAGCAATGGAAGATTTTAACTTCCTGATATACAGTATGATTCTTTTTATGTTTTTCGAATTATTTTCATACTGTAGTTTGCTTAAGTTTTTATTGTGTTTTTTATCCATAAATGAGTAGAAGGTTTATATAGTTTAGCCCATTAAAAAGTAAACTTCACTTGTAGATATTTTATTTTTAAAAAAATTTTAAATATACTTTTTAGTTGTAGTTGGATGCAATAACTTTATTTTATTTATTCATTTTTATGTGGTGCTGAGGATTGAACCCAGCAACTCGCACGTGCTAGGTGAGCGCACTATTGCTGAGCCACAACCCCAGCACGCTATTTTATCTCTTAAGTGTCTATTATTCTGGTTTTATATTGAATGTAAAATTTTTTTAAAAAAAGGTCTATTAGAAAAGCACTGATCTAAATCTATAATTATTTAAGTTTCTTGTGCATTTTTCACAACCCTCCTCAAGTTACTATGAAGTTCTAGTGTTCCCCCCTCCCAGGAAAAGTGGTTTTATAGTTGATGATTGGCAATATAATTTTTATATTATGCATGAGTGAGAAGATTAAATCATTTTATTTTGTGTTTATCTGTGACTGATAAATTTAAATTTAAATACCAGCTTGGTGAGAGCAAATTTTCTAGGTCTCATTTGTCTTGAACTAGCAATTAATTAATGTGTCTTAAACTAAGCAATTAGGATAGATTGTTAAATGGAACTGGATATTTGAGTCATCTTCTTTCTTATGTTAGACTTTCAATTTGATGAAAAAGAGAAATTATTAAAATCTATTCCCTATACATTATTTAGGCTGTGACTTCATACTAGGTAATACGATTGTCAAGAAGTACATAGTATGATTCAGTTTCTTGAGGCCACTTCTAGGCCTATGGTAACAGTTCATCGGATTCCATTTTAATGTTTATTTCTATAAATAATAGATGTTCCCAGTCTTTATCAATTGATCTGGATTGAGATTGCAATAATACCTGCTTACATGATTGGAATACAGGCTGATTCCTGTTTCATTTTTCTCCATTAGCCCTACCAAGCTACAGAGCACTTTTAAGAAAATACTCAAAAATTCTACTCCCATTGAAATAAAATCATGTTAAGCTTTTGTCTTTTGTAACTAGTCTACTTCTATTGGTTGTCAGGTCCTAAGTTCCAAATTCTTTATTTGGATCTTCAACTTTGAGAAATTAATAGGGTCAAGGAATAAGAACCAGTGTTTACATAAATGTTTATTGGACTATCCTTTATCATCTTTCAGGTCTTGTAGAAATTTGCCTGATGCACCCCCTGGATGTGGTGAAAACCAGGTAAGTTTCTGCATGAACAAGTTTTATTGACTTTGGCTGATATCCAAATTAAAATCTGTCAGAGTTCTAAATGCTAGAACTTGTCCCAGGCTGGTAGCTTCTCCCTATAATGGCATTTGTATTTGCTTTTTAAAGAAAGTACTATTTGACAGATAAAATGTGAACAGTGAAAAGAATTTCTGGATAGAGGTCATCTGAAGGTATGTAATATTTTATTGCCTTCACTTGACAACCTTAAGTTATGATTTGTGGCTATATTGGTAAATGAGGAAAATTTATCAAAATGATGTAAAAATTCAACTTTATCCAGTGAATTATGATAGCATTTTCATTTGACATTTCATATAACATATTGCTATTTAATAGTAAGCATTTGGTGTGAGACTCCAAAATTTCAAGTAAGCTTCTTAAATGGTGCCTAAAGAATTTATTCCTATAACTCTTTTCCAATTCAAAATACCATGTTTATAGGGAAATGAATTTGCTCTTGAAGGGAGATAAAAATCAGGGCAATGTATTATATCTATCTACCAAGAGCAAAAACAAACAAACAAAAAACAAAACAAAAATAACAAAATCTTATAAGGTTTAACATGATCCTAAAGCATTTTTTAAAAAGTTTATCCTGTGGTTGAATTATGGAACTCCCTATTGCCATTAGAAGTTGTTAGAGTTTAATGAAAGTCTCCATTTATTGGTTGAAGCCTAAGAGTGCTATCCAACAATGGTAGTTGATCAAATCATTACTGTCTCAGGAAATACTTAATAAGTCAGAGTAGTCACTGTATGGTCATGTTACTTTATCTACAGAATCTGGAGAATCTTAGACTGGTTTCTGGAAAAGTGTAATAATATTAATATTAATAATTTAATAATTTAAAGTGTAAATAATATTACATTTCTCATTGAAAAAGAGAAAATGAGAATTTGGCGTCTGACTTAGTTGCTGTAACAAAAAACATGGCTGGGTGACTTAAATAACTGATGAGTATTTCTCATAGTTTTGGAAGTTGGAGAGTCTAAAATCAAGGTCAGAGAAGCTCATTTCTTTGTGAGGGCCCTCTCCTTGGCTTGCAGACAGCCTCCTTCTCACTGTATCCTCACTTGGCCATGACAGAAAGCTCTGCTGTCTCTTCCTTTTCTTATAAAGTCACTATTTCCATGATGGATGTTTCGCCCTCATGACTTCTAAACCTAATCACTTCCCAAAAGTTCACTTCCAAATACCATCACACTGGGGATTTGAGTTTCAGCATACAGATTTTGTAAGGATACAAAATTCAGTTGGAAACAGCTTCAAGTCATTAAACCAAAACAGATAAAGAAGAAAAATCACAAATTTCATTCAAATTCAAGGACCCTGGATCATCTTTTGTTATAGGTTTCAGAAACAGAAGCAATACTCATGCTTAGAATCTGTGTTCACTTTCTTTAAAAAACCATAATATTGTTTCTAGTCTTACTCAGGAATAAATTCTTACTCATTTAAGGGTGACTCCCTAAATTAGTTTTCAAATGGGTATACAGGAGATATAAGAATGATTTAAACAAGATGTGATATTGAAATTATGATCATTCACTCATTTCCCCCAAATTCTTCATTCATCCAGTCAACAAATATGTTTTTGAGCACCTAGCATGTGGGTTCCAGACTAGCTATGCCTCAAAGAGCTCACAATTTGAGGAGCTCTTTGAGGCATGGGAACCTCATGACCATGAACTTTCAAAACTGTTTCATTTTGCTGGACTAGAATTGAATTGCTTACTTCTTGAAATAGATGTGCCAAATAACTGGAGGTTTATATATTCATTGTTATATAAATATTTTCATGAAAATGGCATTCATTAATTGGAATTAGTACATGCCCTTGCCTAACTTCAAGGGGAAAGAATAATACAGGTACCCTGAAGATGATAACTGGAAACTAGATGGTACTTGACCTGCACAGCAATAAAAAGTATATTGAATAAAGACCCTAACCATAGAGAAAACTGAAAACCCAGAGTATTTGCAACTAACTATGCAATGGAAGATTGATGGAAAGATCAATGGGATTTACCAATTAGGCAATTGACATAATGGTGATAGTGATTGGACAGGAGCAGACTAAAGTATTGGAATCTCTTTACTCTTACATTCTACAGGAGATGACTACATTTTTAAATGGGGATAAATTCATGCCAAAGAATGCAATTGATCATATGCAGAATGAAAAAAAAAACCTTTGAGAAAAGATTTTGAAAATAAATTTTTAGAATCTATTGTTTTTCATTCAGCAAAGAAAAGGATTAGGCACAAAAAGAACCCAAAAAGTAAAGACTAGACTCCCAAGAAATAAACACATTCATATTGCTATATCCAACACATGAGATATTGTAGAATGAGCTATACCATACTTGGATTAATTCAGTGTACCACCGTTCAAGTAATAATATCCAAGGAGAGGGAAAACAATTCTTAAAAAGTTATGAGGTTTGTTTGATCTGATGATCCCATGCCCTACTTTTTATTGTTGTTGCTGCTGTTGCTGTTGAGACCAGGTCTTGCTATGTTGCCCAGGCTGGGCTTATACTCTCAATACTCTCACCATAGTATTTTGAGTAGCTAGAATTATAAGTGTGTGCCACCATGCCCCTCTTCCATGCCGCACTCTGACAATGCCTACAGCAACTTAGAATCCAGTGTTCTTGGAATACCATGCACTTAAAAAAACCTACTAAAATTACTAATGCTGTTATTTCTTACATTCTCATTTACAACTTATTTATTCATTTTTACTTTTATCACAATAGTAAACATTCATTGTATAAAATTCAAATATTAACCCCAAGCCTTGCGTTCAACAAGATAGACTAGGTTATGCTGCTATAGCATCAGTAACAAGCCACAAATCTCAATAGATTACAAGGATTTGTGGGGGGGTCATTCCCACTTCAGTTTAATATGAGTAGGTATCTTAGTCCATTCAGGCTGCTACAACAAAACACCATTATGGGTGGCTAATAAACAACAGAAATTTATTTCTCACAATTATGGAGTCCAGAAAGTGAAAGATCAAGGCATTTGCCTTGATTTGGTGCTGGTGAGGGTCCATTTCCTGGCACATAGTCAGCCCCTTCTCACTATATAGTAGCATGGTGGACAGGGCAAAGTAGCATTCCGAATCTCTTTTATAAGAGTATTAATCCTGTTCAAAACCTAATCACCTCCCAAATGCTTCACCTCCTAAATCTATTACCTTGGGGTTTAGTATTTTCATATATGGACTTTAGGGACCGTAGCAATGGGAGACTATGCTCACTGAAGTCATTCAGGTTGACAGAAACTCTGTTTTCATACATGCTTTCACCATCCCTGTAGCATGAAGAATAGAGCTGATGGTCTCATACTGGCAAGTATAGATCTGACCAAAAGTGTCATTTTCTCTCAAACCTGTTGTTAAAAACTAGTGTCTTGGCCAGTCAATCAGAAGAGTACGATCCTCTTCTCTGATCTGAAGGAGGGTATCTAGGTGTCAGTATGCCATAGGCATGCCTGTTCCAAGCCTTAGAAGCATAAATGTTATTTCCTTAAACCCATCAGTTTCCATTCCAGAGGTAAGAACCCTTGACTTTTAGCTGTTTCATTAGAATTCATTTCCATATTTCTAACTATTATGCTTATACTGATTGTATTGAATTGAATAATGCTCTCTGCCCCAAATCATGTCCTTCTCAGAACCTCAAAAAGTGACTTTATTTGGTGTAGATGATATTCATTGAGATTCAATTATACTAAAATAGGTGGGCCCTAAATCCAGTATGACTTGTATCCTTATAAGAAGAGACCGAAACAGATGTGGAGGAAAGACAGCTACATGACACTAAAAGTAGGAATTGGAATTATGCAGCTAAAATCCAATGTACACCAAGGATTCTGGCAACCACCAGAAGCTAGAAGAGAAGAATGGAATAGATTAGGAAACTAATATAGCACTAATATGAATAAAATGTGTAGTTATTCATGGCATTTATAATTATACCTAGCCCCTATTTCCCTTCCCTTCATCTGTCCATTTTTTTTTATCAGTAATGAACTGTTTAATTATTTTTACTATGCAAACATTGCCCACTGCGGTACCAAGTGACACTTAATGCTTTATTTTCCTGGAGTTCATTATTGCCTCATTTTTATTCTTTTATTTTCGTAAGACTATTGCTAGTTGCTATTTTTTTCACAAATGCTTCTACAGTTTCCTTTTCACTACTGTTTTCCATACTGTCAAACTAATAGCAAATGACATGGTAGGGCTTGTTGAAGGTGGTTGTTTTTTTGTTTTTTTTTCCCCCACAATGATCTGGTTAGTTTGTTAGAAACTTCCTCTTCCATTTCCAATGTCAATAGTTGGGGACACTTTTTTTTTTCCCAGTGAGGAATCTTTTACTCCAAGTCATGTGTGGCAGAGAATAAAAAAAAAAATCCACATCATTACAATGTATTTTAGTCAGCTTTTTCTCTGCTGTGACTAAAAGGACCCAATCAAAACAACTGTAGAGGAGGCAAAGTTTATTTGGGGCTCATGATTTCAGAGTTCTCAATCCATAGACAGCAGACTCCATTCCTCAGGGCTCAAGGTGAGGCTGGATGTTATGGCAGAAGAGTGTGACAAAGGGAAGCAGCTCACATAGTAATAAGAAGCAGAAAGAAAGACTTCACTCACCAAATATAAAATATATACTCAAAGCTACACCCCAATACCCTACCGGCCTTCAGTTACCACTCAATTAATCCCATCAGGTGATTAATTCACTGATTGGGTTAAGCCTCTCCTAACCCAATCATGTCTTCTCTGAACCTTCTTGCATTGTCTCAGATGTGAGCTTTTGGGGGAAACCTCACATCCAAACTATAACACTATGTTTCTAGCAAGGATCCACTCTCCTGTCTTTTGCTATCCCTAGTCTGAGGTTGTGCTGATTCAGCCTCCACAGAATAAGCTTCAGGTTCCTACCTGGGAGGT